CGGGCGGCGTCTCCCCCTCCTCCTTCCCGCGGGCGGCCGTTCCGGCAGCAGCCGCCTTGCCCCGCGCCTTGCCCTTACCCCTGGCAGGCGTGGAAGAACCAGCACCACTTCCACCAGCCATTAAAGAAACAAGAAGACTCGAAGGAGACCGGAGAAGAAGGAAAAAGAAAACGGCAGAAAGGAAGTACCTGGTACTCTTCCTCAGAAAATAACCCTAACAACGACTGGGTTACCAGGAACGATGCCGAAGACAAAGAAAATAAAAAGAGAGAATGAACGGAGATGCAAGACGCAACGTGCGCAAGAAGCCAAGAAGGAAGACAAAGAGAAAGAGAGTAAAGTGAATGAGAAGAGGCGCGAGGAAAAGAAAAGGTTTTTCCCAAAATTCAAACGGTCAAGACACGTGTCACCCAAGGGACATGCCTGACCACGCATTAAATGAGGCCCATTATAATGGATGAAACCATCATGACATAACTGTCACTCCCATTAACGCGCCACTTGCACATTTTCGGGAAATGAACAGTCATGACACATGGCATCTCAACAGGCAGACGTACGCGAAAGGTCACTACTCCCTGACGAGCTCGGTTTTAAACTCCTCGACCCACGGTCTTCGGAGCTCGGGGGGCTAGTGTACTATCCGTACCATGAGCCGAGTTCCCAGCTCGGCATCACAGCGCATGATGATTCAGATACGCGCTACGTGACGTCAGCTCGTCACTTAACCAGATCATAACTGATCTGAGGAGATCTCGGTCTAGATGAGATTCGTTATCAAATCACATTATATCTTATCTCAGGCCCAAGGCCCAAAACAACCCTAAACCACACTAAGGTACATGCATTACTTATACGAGACTCATACTCATACAAATCCTAACTTTAGCATCGGAGTCTCTTTTGCAGGTACCACCCCCATCTTGGCACACGAGACGTACCTGTGAAGGAGACTCACCAATCTTGCTTGGAGAATCAACCCTATGGCAAATTCCTAGTAAGAAGAGTTATAATTTTAAAAATCAACAAATAAACATTCAACTAAAGAATCAAAATTATAAATTTTATAAAATTGAAAAATTAAAATTATGAATTTAAAAATAAAATGAATCAAAATTGTAGGTTTAATATTATAGAAAATAAAAATATAATTTAGCCAAAAAAATTGAAAAACTCAAATGACTGGTTAATTTTAATTTATTTTTTCCTTTTAAAAATTAATATCTTAATTCAACTTAAATTTCTTAATCACTGGAAGATTGAGGAAGAATATGCAAGATAAAGTGGATTGAGAAAACCTAGTTTTCTTCATATTTTTGCAATCATAGAGGCGCGCAGGCAGTAATCCGAAACGGTGTCGTGCGAGCAGAGCGAAAAACAAGAAGGTTGCCGAAAGTATTGAAGTTCCGCTCCCGCTCCTTCTTCTTGGCTTATATTGTCTGCATCCATCATGAAGCTCGTTAGGTACCTCTTCGCCTCTCTCTCTCAACTTCTTTTTTTTCTCTTTCACAAACTTAAACCCTTCTTTCTATGAAATCTGGAACAGGTTTTTGATGAAGTTGACCAACGAAACTGTGTCAATCGAGCTCAAGAATGGTACCATTGTTCATGGCACTATTACAGGTTTCCCCCCTACTCTTCCTTCTTCCACTCCACCATTATTTAATATATATGCACTCTTCACATTGTTAAACCCTAGGTGCACTTCACGCTCAAACATTTATCATTAATTAATACCTAGGTTTATTTGCTTATTGCAAAATGTTGATGTTTTCCCAATTGCTAAATATTCTGTTCTTTTTCCCTCCCTGGAATTCAGTAAGTGCTTCTGGAATTTTAAGATCTTAATTATTTTTGCGGCTAACAGGTTGCTTACTTGAACTTGATTGTCACTTGAAAACTGTTAGTTCAGGTGCTGAGAATTAAGATCCATTTTTTAACTTCATATTTTACTGTCTAGGGTTTTCTGTTTGGTATTTAATTGTTTTTGTGATTCCTGTATCTACACCTTTATTGTCATGTAACGATGAATGGCTGATTACCCTCTCATTTTCTAGGAGACAGTAAGATGGAAAATCTAATATCATAGTGAGGTTATAATTAACAAAATCACTAATTTTATTTGGAATTCCTTTTTTTTTCTCCTGATTTAACTTGATGTTTGGATTGATTGCGCCTAAACTTTCCACAATATAGGATTGTATTTGGCTCTAGTCGTTTCAAGGGAGTTTCCATTTCTTATATGCAAAGAGATTGGGCGGCATTCTATGTTTTCTCTCTCTCTCTCTCTCTTTTTTCTCTAGTTTCATGTTTGCTTCTTTTCATAGTTATACATTATGTTCAGGTTTAGGCGATATTTTACCCTCAGTTGTTGTATTATCTCTGTTTTCCTGCTAATAATTTTTCTTTTACTATCTAAATGAGAATAATAATGGTTGATGTAAAATGGTGGCCAGACAATACCGTTTGAACTTTACACTTGGAGCAGGATAAAGTTGTTTGTTACCAAAGACATATTAGCAAGACACACCTTAAATTCAGAAGTTTCAATTACTTTGTTGAGTGGCACTGTGGAAAATGTGTTACATTTATAGGGTAGTCACCAGTTTCCTAGCCTTTGGATCAAAGGAGTATGCTTAGTAGTTAAGAGTCTTACTATTATTTAACTTCTCTGTCTGTTCTGTTTTTTGATACAATATAGAACCCATATCAGCCTATACACCGTACCAAATATAGGCCAATCTTTTCGGAAACACACCATTATCATATGTTGCTTCTGATTGAACCTGGTGCAGCCTGTGCTGTGGAATTCTCTATTCAACAATCATCTGGGTTTAGTTTCACTTTGTCTAACAAAAGAAATCTCATAAGTTTGTATTACACGGGTTTTCTTTGATTGTATTAAACATTTGATATCTGAGGCTCCAGTGTAACCAGCTTCAACAATTGTTAGTGAACATAATTACATTAATACATTCTTTTATGTAGGCTTATGAAGGTAGTGAACCTTTGTATAACAATATGGCATGTCTGTCTAGCTACTTGTTAATCATTATGATCCAAATGCAAGATAAGTTAAGCATCAAGGAATTTTCTATCCAGTATTTACTGAATACATATGGACAGATATTGCCTAGTCATATTTTTGGGACGGGATCAGAAGTATGTTGGTACTACAGATATACCGATTCTGACTTGCTTGCTATGCTACAGGTGTTGATATCAGTATGAATACACATTTGAAAACAGTTAAATTGACTCTGAAAGGGAAAAACCCAGTGACTCTGGATCATCTTAGTGTGAGAGGCAGCAACATTCGATATTATATTCTTCCTGACAGCTTGAATCTTGAGACTTTGCTGGTTGAAGAGACTCCTAGGATCAAGCCTAAGAAACCAACTGCTGGTATTGTACATTATTTGACTGTAAATACAATATATTTTTTTTCTGCAGACATTTTGTTTAGGTCGTCTGTTATCTGGTTGCTTTTGGTTTTCAAAGTTTTGATTTTATTTCCAGGAAAACCTATGGGAAGAGGGCGTGGTCGAGGACGTGGACGTGGTCGGGGGCGTGGTCGTGAACATTAACGTGAACACTAGTTTCACATTAATAAATTTTGTGCCATCGGGTTGTATTGTAAGGAGAATTTCTGAGCGGTTGTGGATATCAAAGGAGTGTTCATGTTGATTTTTCCATGTTGCCATTCTATAACATACTAGTAGGTGCTTACATGTTTTGTAAAATTCCTTTATAGTATTCTACAATTGAGTAAGGCAGGGTTTGCGATCACACTTTGTTGGGTGGTCCCAAAAGATGCCTTATGCCTCTTGGCTGAAAAACTGCAGATAGTTGTAGCTTTCGGTACAAGATGAAGTTAATGGAATTACTGATGCAATGTTGTGGACTTGTGGTTTGGTAGGTCGGGGTTCTGTTTGTTGATTTAACACTCTTTATTACCCAAGATAGTTGGACTGACTCTTGTGCTTTAGCACCCCGGTTTCTTTGAGATTTGAACTCATCCTTGTTGAAGCTTTTGCTACAAGGTGAAAAAGTTAATTGGAATTGCTTAAGCAATAGTGGTATGGAAGGTGGTGTTTCTGTATGTCAATTCTAGACTCTTATCCATTAGTTTATAAGTTGATCTTAATAGTTTTACGAAATGAGTATTGGACAAACACAATTCTAGCCCAACTATATTTAATTTGATTTTGCCAACTTGATCTGAGTTGGTACTCAATTCTGAAATTTATCAAAATATTATTTAAACAATAATTTGAAGAAATAATTTTTTAATTTATTGATTAAGTATATAAAGTTAATTTAAACTCACTGTATAAATACGCAAAAATAAGTGCTAGCAGTAATAGATCAACCCGAATAATTCAATCTTCATAAAATAAGCTAAAACAAAATTTATTAATCCAAATTATGCTAAATCGGATCCTGCCTTAAGCAAGGTCAGGGGTTCGAATCTTGCCTTGTGTATGCAGTCGCGTTAAATTTTAGGGTCAGCTATTACACCCTTTGAGATGTCTTCAACGTAGCGAGGAAATTAGTCACTGCTATCGGCGGTGGATACTCCAGGGACGAACCAAAAAAATTATGCTAAATCGGTAACAAGTCGATTTACATTTGATTCAACCTACGATGAACTAATTCAAATTAATCAAACTAACAACACAATAGCTGAAAGTTAAAGCTAGGGGAAATAATGCAGCGAGAAACTGCAATATGCATTGACTCTGATGGCAGCATAATTACAGGAGATCGGGTTATTGGGTTATGATTCATGTCAACGTATAAACTATAAACTTACACTGACTAGAGTTTAGTGATAAGAAAAAGAGGAAAGGGAAGGGAAGGCACATCGTCAGAATTATTTTGACCATTATTAACTAGAGCTCAGGCTAATAAACGCATTTGTTTAACCATCAAAGACTAACAAAATTTTGGGTATGAATAATATCATGTAATATTTCAGTCAGGTGAAATCTTGGCCCTTAATTAAAAATAAAATAGGATATTTAAATAATAATAAAATAATATATAATGTTTTGTTGGTAGAGATTTCTATTGGAAAAAATACAAGTAAAAACTAATTCTCTGAAGTTTTCTTTGATTTTGCTAATCAGTGTTTTTGGACATTGATTAAGGAATTAATATATAGAATTTTTGTTATTACGTAGTAAAATTTACAATAAAGTTATACAAAAAATAGTATAAATAAAAAATGACGAGGGATTCGTTTATTCTAAGAGTAAGTTTATTGTTCAATAATTCATATTCTATATCAAGTTTCAATAATCCAACCGTTGAATTTAAAGTTCTTAATCCATAGATTCAATCTACAAATTTTAAAAAAATTTGAAAATCATTTGATATTTTATTTTATTAATTCAAATTAATGTATAAAATAATTTTCTGATTATCTTTGATTTGAATTAATGAAATGAAATATTAAATGGTTTCAAATTTTTTAAAAATTTGCAAACTTGATTAAGAACTTTAAATTTAATAGTTAAATCATTGAGATTTAATATAGAACATGAATTATTGAACGAAATAAGTCTAAATAGATTTAGAGTTAATCATCCATACACTGATTATTTTACTAAATTATTTATATATATTTCATAAAAATTAATTTTAATTAAAAATATTAGTAAATTAAATATTTATTTAATTAAATGTATAAATTAATGATGATATGTTTTAATTTAATGATAGTCTTTAAAATAAAATTATTTAATAAAAAACTAGTTTTTAAGAATATTAAATATTTTAAGAGTTAAAATAATTTATAATAATATAATTTTTTAGTTTAATATAATAAATTAATTTTCTTTTCAAAGACATGATCTAATTATAATATTTAAAGAAAACCTCAAGTGCTACGTCGATTAGAAATAAAATAATTAAAGAGTACACACGTTGGGACAACACTCACCTTAGAATTTAATTTTGTATGGTTGAATATTAGACCTATAATCTACAATCTAAGAGTTTAAAAAGTTATGCTGCATTTTAAATTCACAATAAACTTTTTGTAATAATTTTTTTGTAAAACTATTTCCTATATAAAATTTCTTGCAAAAAAATTCGTAGGAAATTTTCTAACAATTTTTTTTTCGCAACAAAAATTTCTTGCAAATTTTAAATTCCAAAAAACATATTATCTAAGAAGGTATTATTTGAAGAAAAAATTTCATAAAAAATTCATAAGAATAATGTTTCCTACAAATTTTTATACAAAATTCGTATAAAAAAATTATATATAATAAGAAAAATTCTAGTAATATAAAAAAAAATTATTTAATACTACTAATTTCACTGAGAGTTATTCATAAAGTAACTTCATCCCTGCACTTTTCTTGTACGTACATGTATTAATATATAGGTGTGTAGATAACATAATTCAAAGCATCTTCTCTGCTTGATTCTTGCTGTGAAGTAACAAATGGATCCATAATTTTTGCTTTACTTCCAACATTGGAAAATAATATAATATAAATAATAAAAATGTATACCAAACACCCAAATGAATCGAAGGTTCCTCAAAAACCCAAATCTAAATGGCCTTCTCAGTAGCTTTCTCTACTTCCTACTGCACTCTCCAAAGTAGCATATTGTGTGCCCAAAAATCAAATCCACAATCCCTGAAGACCTCATCGTTATTCCCACCTGGGAAGAAACTCTTCCACCAACCTCTAAGGTACAAAGACTTTTCTCCCAAGAGAGGTGCTGGCGAAATCAAGGCATCAATTAAGTGGGAAAAGGGCTACAAAAAAGTTGAGGTCTTCAGTAAGGAGCATCTTGCTGTGTCATTGGCTTATGATGTTGCCCAGCTCTCTAACAAATTCACAAGAGAGAGAGGTGCTTTCACTGTTGTTTTGTCCGGTGGGTCACTCATCAAGTATCTCAGGTGAGTATATTAAATACAAGTTTAGAAGTATTTTTGAGGTGTCTTTATTTTTAAAAAAAAAAATAGATATGCTAAAGCATTACTATATGGAAAAAGATCGTAATTAGGTTAATATCTCAATCCACACCAATCATCTGCAGCATATTAAAATGGACTGAAAAATAAAATAAAATAAAAGTATAAGTAAGAGGACCAAACCAAAATCCACGACAAAAATGTAAAGGAAAAAAGAAAAAACAAATGAATGATAGGCCAAAAGTCATTATACAACATCAAAGCATGGAGTCCAGTTTAATATAAAAACAAGCTAACTTGTGCCACAAATCAGGATAATTTGGAGGATTTGGCTCTCCGTGATCGGAAAAGGTTTTTTGAGCTTAGGAATCTGAACTTGTGAGACCCTCTTTTCCCACCATATCTACATGCTGCAAAATCCAGGGGAAATTCAGTCTAATCTGGATTGTATAATTCAACGGCTGCCTTAATAAAAATAAATAATTTTTTCAAGTAGAAAAGGTTTTAGGAGCTCTTCTAACTTGTATTCAGTCATGTTTTATATTACGTTGATTCTTGGGATAGAGTTGTGTCATTTTGATGAAAGTTCATGTAGTAACATTTTTATTTTTCCAAAGTTATCTCAAGAAGTTTCTTGTTGTTTCAGTAATAAACTTCAATTTTGGGCTTTGAATTTGGAATGCAATGTTCTACTGGTTTCCAAATTTAAGAAATTATCAAATAAATTTCTAGAATATTAAAAAAGTCTTTTAATTTAACTTCTTACTATCATTTTGTTCTATGAAAATATATATCAATATAATCATTTTAGTCTCACATTTTTTTTTTGGTACTTTGAATTTAATGTTATTGTCAATATGCACTTTTAAGGATTTATTTTACTATTTCTTATTAGTTTCATAGACTATTATATTAGTGCTTTCAACATTCAAAATTGAGTGTTTCCCCTCTCTCTCTCTTTCTTGTTACATATCTCAAGAAGTTTAAAAATTAAGTAATTATCTTTAATAAATTAAACTAAAAATAATACTACCGATCGACATGCATGATGCCAGGACTCAAACCTGAATTGCCACCACATTTTAAGTATGTAATACGAGCAAAGTTTTATCATGCTTTTTATGTTGAAATTTCAGGAAATTGGTTAGAACCTCCCTATATCGATTCCATAGAGTAGTCAAAATGGCATGTTTTCTGGGTGGACGAGAGAGTCGTGCCAAAGGATAACTTAGAAACTAATTACAAGCTTGCCTATGACGGGTTTCTCTCTAAGGTATTTGATTTGACTTTTATATATATGCCCTATATTATTTAGCTTGAACAAGAATTAATGAGTATAATTTAATTAAAATTCATTATTTTGATTGTGATGCTAAAATTTTTACATTATATAATTTAACTTTCTCTCATACTCATTTTAATATGATTAAAGCAACTTTAATGAGAGTTGTTTGTCCCATAAAGTAACTCAAGTCCTGATTTCTTATCATTAGAGGACTCTGGCCTGACAACATGAGTTGCTTGAAGAAGAGAGAGAGTTGCTTCCTCAAGCAACCGTTCCTTACCAGATTTCAAGCAAATTTTATTGAACATATTTCAGAACGTTTCGAAAATAATAATGATGAAAATTAATTTCGTATAATGTCTATGTATTTATTATTATTTTATTTTATTTTTAATATTTACTTATTGTATATTTTTTCTCGTATTTTATTTTTTTCATTGTAGTGCAATTACGTTTTTTAATAAAAATTTAAAATTGGTTCATAAATGATTAGAAAAAAAATTCTAAAAGTTAAATTTTTTAAAGTTTCTTACCATTGGAGTAAATTTGTGTTCGAGTTGCTTAATACTGACATGGCACACTCAGGACCACTTTTTCATTTTTCAATGCATGAAGCAACTCAAATGAGTTGCTTCCATTAGAGATGCCCTTAATGTTAGATTATTAATATAATAAGAGTTTATTTTTTTCATATATTGTGTATAATTTTTAAAATAATTATTATAAAAGTTAATAATTTTTAATTACATAATAATTCATAATTAAAAGAAAGTATAAAAATCTTTTAAACTACTAGTATATTACAATTAATTAAATTCTATGCGGACGTTATGCACTTTTTCTTAACCATTTTGATTTCTTAATGCACTTTAATTTTATGAGTTTCTCAATGTGATGTAGAATTAATTTTTTTATAATTATTTTTCAACAAAGATAACTTGTTGTGTTCTTAATTCACTTTGGATGGTTTGCAAAGTAGACTCATTTTCTTCCTTTTATACGAAAAGATCTTAGTTTTTAGTACTTCAATGATAAAAAAACAAAAAACAAAAAAAACAAAAATACAAGAACCAGATTTTATTTTATGAACTTATAAGCGACTCTCGTTGGAGATGAAATAACTTTACACACACATGGTGAAGCAATTAATTAAAAACTCACCTTTTTCATTGTTGTTTTGAAAGGTGCCGATTCCTCGGGTAAATATTTATGCCATTGATGATGCCTTGCCAGCTGATGGAGCAGCTGATGTTTATGAAACAACTCTGAAACGGTTGATGAAAAGTAACGTGGGGCGCGCTTCTTCATCTTTAGGAAAGTATCAGTAAAATACTAATGTGGACATTACTTTAACAACTATTTACTGGTCAATTGGATGGTATTTATTTTAGGTTTTTCTCAATATACTGAAATTAGATAAAATTTCACTAAATTATAATTTTAATAGTCCTTTAACTTATTATTTGGATTCATTTTAGTCTTTTTATATTAAAATGTTTTATTTTTTTTATTTAAATTAATTTGATCTTTTTAAAATAATGAACATCTTCAATTTTATGATATGATTTTGAATCAATTTTTAAATAATTCAAGAGGCAAAACTTATAACATTAGTAAGACACAAAATACAAGCCTTAGTAAGGCCCAAACACTACAATAAAAATGCAAATTATTGACAGATAATTTCCGACGGATATAAATCCGTCAAAAATTTATGTTTCTAACGGATTTTGCTGATGAAAAAAATTCAGTATATTGATGGAAGAAGGATGATCAATGAGAGGACTCCACGGATCTTAGTTCTTCAAAGGCCTAGGCTTGGATGGTGGTGGTGACCAAAAATTGAGGAACGATAAAAGGTGTTTGATGGAATGCTTGAGAGGTACTCTAGGGTTTGGCTCACTCCAAGTTAGATGAAGGCCACTCCTAGGGTTTTTACTCAAGGTGGAGATAGGTAGGGTTCTTGGCTGAAAATGACCAAGAGAGACTAAGAAAAATATAAAGGCCCAAAAGGCTCACTCTATATTAATTTCCAAAGTATTTACAAGGAGGCTAGCCTAGGGTATTTATAGAAGGGAGGGTGCATTTAGGGTTACATTTGAGAGTGCATGGCCAAGTAATGCAATCCAAATGCACTTCAAATGAAACCTAAATTAACCCTAGATGCTACTTGGTGGCCAAGGATGGAATCTTTGGGTTTGGTTAAGCTACATCTAGGTGCATGATAAGACTATGCAACCTAGGTGCCCTCCACTTGGGCCTAATCCTTGCCAAGTCCAAAAATAAATCCAATGCCACCAAAAAACATGTCTAGGCCTAGTTTGCAACCTCAATAAAATACCCTAGCTATAAAATAAAATCCTATAATCTAAGACACCCCCATAATATACAAGGGTAAAAATGGGAAATACAAGTAAAAAAATAAATCCTATAACTAAGGTACCCAAAGTACAAGGGTAAAATAGGAAACTAAAGACAAGGTCAAAAATAGGAATAAATCCTATACTAATAAAAACTTAGGAGCTAAGGCCCAAAAGTAGTCTCATTTCTCTTATGGTTTTCAAAACTAACCCATTCCTCTTGCCTCCTTTAATATATCACCTCTTGGTCTTCTTGGCCGTAGTGTAATTCCATCACGCTCAACATAAAGCTAGACCTGATTGATGAAGCCAGAGATAGAGCACTCATTAACATGGAAGCTTGTAGAACAAGAATAGCCAGGAGATTCAAAACCAAAATTAAACCACGCGAATTTCAGCCAGGAGATTTAGTTTGGAGGGTTACCGGAGAAGCCAGAAAGAACAAAGCACAAGACAAGTTAGCACCCAACTGGGACAGACCCTTTCGCGTATTACATAACCTGAACAACGATGCCTACAAACTTGAAGAGTTCATAGGATGAACCATTCCATGAACTTTAACGCCACCCACGTGAAACATTATTATAGCTAGGTCTTTCAAATATGTATGACTGTTTTGGTGCACTCTTTTCCTTCCCCAGCTTTTTTCCTCTTGTAAGAAAATGTGAAAGAGGTTTTACTAGGAAAGGTTTTTAACGAGGCACCCCATTAATGAAACATAATTTAGGTTCACCTTGCAACTAGTTCTCCTTTCCTATAACATATTCCCTCCCGAGCACCCCTACTCGGCTAAGGATGCCCATTAATTCCCTACCAAGAACAAGCTCAGTTAAGGATGATAACATATTCCCTCCTGAGCTCCCTTGCTCGACTAAGGATGTCCATTAATTCCTTACCGAGCACAAGCTCGGTTAAGGATGATAACATATTCCCTCCTGTCAAAATCGTGATTGGCGTTGTGTATTTTAGGAAGTTTTATATTTGCTATGCTGTATTTCTGTAACGGCCTTATGCTACCATTATTAGATTTATTTATGCAGGATTAATCCCATAATCATAAGGATTTGTCTCCTTAGAATTAACTGTCCATATTTCCTAAAATAGGCTGCAGATTCATGTATATATATAGAGGTTTAATAACCTCATAATATCAAAAGAGAGAATATTATTCCTTCTAAATTTAAGATGGTATCAGAGCTCCCGATCCTTGGGAGTCTCTGACCGTGCCTTTAAACCTAAGTCGTAGTCATCATTGTTGCGCTATCTTTAACCTAAGTTGCAGTCTTCATTGTTGCGCTACCTTTAAGCCTTGTTGTAGCCTTCATTGCAACGCAACCCTCTCTACCTTGATCATACCTGGTTATGGCTGAGGTCGTTAATTTGGAAACTAGGAACAGACCCCAGACTGCTGGAGAATTGCAGAATGTTCATTCCACTTATTGGTTAAATGGGAAGAATTACCTCAAATGGTCCCAACTCATTAGGACCATCTTGAAAGGAAAAGGAAAGATCAGTCACCTGACTAGTAATGCACTTGATGAAACAGATCCCAAATTCAAATCATGGGATGAAGAAGACTCCATGATCATGGCGTGGCTATGGAATTCGATGGTCCCAAAAATCAGTGATACCTGCATGTTCCTTAAATCAGCAAAAGAAATTTGGGAGGCAGTCGAACAAAATTACTCTAAGGCCAAGGATGCTGCTCAAATTTAAGATGTAAAGGTGAAAACCGTGGCTGCCAAACAAGGAAATAGATCATTTATAGAATATGCCAATCAACTCAAGTCTCTATGGATGGAATTGGATCACTATCGAGTTATAAAAGCAAAGTGTTCAGAAGACTCAGCAATTCTAAAAGAATATATTGAACAAGATAGGGTCTATGATTTTTTGGTAGGCCTAAATCCTGAATATGACCAGGTCCGAATCCAAATCCTGGGAAAAGAGAGAGTCCCAAGGCTTAATGAAGTGGTAGCCATTATCCGAAGTGAAGAAAGCAGGAGAAGGTTGATGCTGGAAACCTCAACCACTGAAACCTCGACAATGATAGTTGAAGGAGGAACAATCATGGTTGCTAACCAAGGAAAAATTGGGTTCCCAGTATGGAGAAAAAACATGAGGAGGTTTGGTGTACCCACTATAACAAGCCGCGCCACACAAGGGAAAAGTGCTGGAAATTACATGGAAAGCCCCCAAGCCGAGAATGGGGGCAGAAATATGGAAAAACCTCAAGCTGAGAATGGGGGCCGAAAAGAGGTCCTCCCAAAAAAGGAGGGCAAGGGCAAGCATACATTGCTAATGGTCAAGGTGAAGAATCTGTCCAGCTGAACCATGAAGAGATAGAATGGGTAAGATCTATCCTTAATAAATTGGAGAAGCCCACATGTACATGCTCCTTAACATATTCTGGTAAGTTTCCTCTTTCTTTTGGGCTTAATGTTTCAGATACACCATTTACACATTACTGGATATTAGACTTTGGAGCCACCGACCATATGACCCCTCTACCCAAATACTTCTCCACATATTCCCCATGTCCTGGCAACAAGAAAATTTCCACAGCAGATGAAACTCTTATAACTGCAGCTGGACAAGGAGAGGTCCAAATAAGCCCATCCATGACATTAAAAAATGTCCTTCATGTCCCTAAACTGTCCATCAACTTGATTTCTATACAAAAACTCACAAAAGATCTTTCATGTAATGTTGTTTTTTATAGAAACTCTTGTATATTGTAGGACAAGAACTCGGGGAGGACGATTGGATATGCTAGAGAATGGAATGGCCTATACTACATGGAGGACCCTAATCTGCCTTCCAAGAGTCTCATCTCTCAATCCACCATGACCAACAAAGAGAAAGCTCAGTTATACCATTGTCGGCTAGGGCATCCTTTATTTCGAGTTTTAAAAGGGCTTTTCCCTTCCTTGTTTAAAAATTTAAATGTTGAGAGTCTCCATTTTGAGGAGTGTGAGATTGCAAAACACAAGCGTGTACCTTTTTCCATTAGCAATAAGATGAGTTCTTTCCCCTTTTTTTTCTAGTTCACACTGATGTATGGGGTCCTGCTCATGTTCCTAATATCTCAGGTGCTGAATGGTTTTTAACCTTCATTGATGATTGTACCCGAGTGACTTGGGTTTTTTTATTCAGTTTATCTCAATGATTAAAAATCAATTTGGGGTCGGTATTAAAAGAATTAGGTCTGACAATGCCAAGGACTACTTTAATCTTGTACTAAACTCTTTTTGCCAAAAAGAAGGGATAATTCATGAGTCCTCATGTGTGAACACACCCCAACAGAATGGGATTGCAGAAAGAAAGAATAAGCACCTATTAGATCAAACTAGAGCTCTACTTTTTCAAAGCCATGTTCCTAAGAGATTTTGGGGAGAACCCCTCCTTACTGCCACCTACCTAATCAATAGGTTACCCACTAAAATCTTAAACTTAAAAAGCCCCATGGAAGTTCTATCCTCATTCTACCCACACTTATATCCCACAAATAAACTCCAACCTAGAATATTTGGGTGTGTATCCTTTGTGCATGTTCATAGTAATGAAAGGGGAAAATTGGACCCTAGGGTTGTCAAATGTGTTTTCTTAGGGTACTCTACCACAAAAAAGGGATACAAATGTTTTCACCCCATTTCAAAAAGATTCTATGTGTTGTAGACACCCAATTTCGTCCGGGGGGCATACAAACAAAAGATAGGATATCAGAGGGCCAAAAAAAACCTTTTTCAGTGGCACAGAACGGGCCGTTTCAAAACCGGAACGGTCCGTTCCCAACCAATCAAGGGGGCCTAAAATTTTACCCAGAACGGGCCGTTCTGAAATCAGAACGGGCCGTTCTGGTTCCCCGGAATGCGCCGTTCTGGTTTCAGAACCGGCCGTTCTGGGGTTCAAACTTTTCCGATCTGAAAAAGAAAATGAGAAAAATAATCAAGAAATAAAAAGGTTGCTTGCTAGATTAGTTGTGGGAGGAGAGGCTAGTGGTTCAAGACCAAAAGTCTCTTCCCCTAAATCCTCAAAGGGTAAAGGGGTTAGAATACCCTCAAGTATTCATGAGGAGGAAGGGCATCATACCCAACCTCCAAGTGATATCTTCTATAGTAGTCATCACAATGATGATTATTATCAAAGACCCCCAAGGCAACATAGACATAGGGAGTCTTCCAACAGGGAACCCAACATCACTCTTCCCCCATTCCATGGCAAAGACAATGTTGAAACTTATTTGGATTGGGAGATGAAAGTAGAACAATTGTTTTCTTGCCATGGAGTGAGTGAAGAGAGAAAGGTTTCTTTGGCAACCCTTAGCTTCCAAGGGCATGCCATGTATTGGTGGACCTCCTTAAAAAAAGAAAGAAGAATAAACCATGAGCCCCAATTCAATATTTGAACGAGCTCCGTAGTGCCTTAATAAGGAGGTATATTCGTCCATACTATGATCGTGAGCTTATGGACAAGCTACAAAGATTGAAACAAGAGTCATCTAGTGTGGAAAAATATAGGCAATTTATGGAGTTACTCATGATGAGGGCTGGGATAAGGGAAGAAGAGAGGACCACCATCTCAAGGTGTCAAAGTGGTCTTAACCTTGAAATAAGAGACAAAGTTGAACTCTTACCATATAGAGATTTGAATGAGCTTATTTAGGAAGGATGCCATCAAGTGGTATCTAGAGCCAAAGGTTCTTCAAGGCTAACTTTTTTGTCTCTCATAAATCCGGTCATGTCTAATGTGTCTTCTTTCTTGTCTTAAAAGTTGTGCATGATATATACATTCTCATGGTCTACGTGTCTTGTGTTGATCATTGCTTCATGCTATAAACTTTCTTATGAATCATCTTGGTGCCTAGGTTTCCTTGTGTAGGATTCGTCCATTTTTTGTTTAAGTTTGGGTGGATGGAAAATTTTGGTGCATCCTAAGAAAATGATGATCATGTGATTTTCTTGTTTTTAATTGATAACGAATCTCATCTAGACCGAGATCTCCTCAGATCAGTTATGATCTGGTTAAGTGACGAGCTGACGTCACGTAGCGCGTATCTGAATCATCATGCGCTGTGATGCCGAGCTGGGAACTCGGCTCATGGTACGGATAGTACACTAGCCCCCCGAGCTCCGAAGACCGTGGGTCGAGGAGTTTAAAACCGAGCTCGTCAGGGAGTAGTGACCTTTCGCGTACGTCTGCCTGTTGAGATGCCATGTGTCATGACTGTTCATTTCCCGAAAATGTGCAAGTGGCGCGTTAATGGGAGTGACAGTTATGTCATGATGGTTTCATCCATTATAATGGGCCTCATTTAATGCGTGGTCAGGCATGTCCCTTGGGTGACACGTGTCTTGACCGTTTGAATTTTGGGAAAAACCTTTTCTTTTCCTCGCGCCTCTTCTCATTCACTTTACTCTCTTTCTCTTTGTCTTCCTTCTTGGCTTCTTGCGCACGTTGCGTCTTGCATCTCCGTTCATTCTCTCTTTTTATTTTCTTTGTCTTCGGCATCGTTATACGACAAAGCCCGAATCAATTTTATAAACAAAAAAAAAACACTATGGTTGGGCCCTTGCTTTGATTTGTTAATACTGTCGAAATCTATTTGAGCACTCACAAATAAACAATCAATGAGACTGATATTTATTATTTTTAACTTTCTCTACATTCTGCATTGCATTCATTTAGAACATATTCCTCCTTGTAAAAGAATAAATGAGAATAAAAAGGGAAATTAACCTATGTGCGTTAATCGGAAGTAATGGAAGTAAGCCATGCATAAAGAGTTGAGGGTAAAGAACTCCACAATCTTTAAGACGCCAATTCTTGCCCTAAGTGGATAAAGTCGTGTCGTGCAACCATGAAATCCAAGTGGAATGGAAAAATGACTAGGAATGGATGGATCCACACTCCTAACGAGTTGCAAGTTAATAAAGAGAACCCGAGGAGAGCGAATCCCTCAAACACCAAGGCAAAGTGAATAGAGCTTTCTTGAAAGATGATTTCAATAAGAGAAGCATTGCTTATTAAGAAGCTGCTAGAATGAAAACCCGCAAAGGGCATTCTAGTAAAAAAAAAAAAAAGAGTAATGTTTGTTCGAGCTGAAAATCGAGAGACAGCTTGGATGTTCCTCTTGAAAAGCAAGACTCCATAGAAAGCTCTATCATCGCTTCTACATATTCCTACTTCTTAGGAAAGGCTCAGGATATGGGTTGACTACACTTTCATGAGAGAAGAAGCCAAAGGGCCTCCCTCTATACGAGAACTTCTGAATTGCCATATCCAAGTAAGTGTAGGACTAGCCCTACAGTCAGACAACCTAGGCCTCTCTAAGGGGCAACCTCCTCTACTTCTTTGTGTATGAATCACGAACTCGGGGCATGCCCGGGCCCTTGAGCTACATTAAATGGGCACGTGTAAATCGAAAATTCTATTTTAATGACATACACTTTTCTAATTCATTTCTCTTCTCCCTTTTATCTACTCTAAGCCTCGTTAACAAACCTTAAATGAGCAAGTACATTTGAAATAAGGACGTCATTAGAAACAATGGCTTAATACGCAATAAAAAAAACACATAAAGATCAATCAAATTGGGCATGACTTATGAATAAAAGTCCAAATGAAATCAGTGCAAGGGGCATCCCCTTTAATGAAGGAATGAAAGATGATCACAAATGCTGCAAAGACAAAACCCTGGCAGGAAACCCACTACAGGGGGCTGCACAAAAATTAGGGCAAGGTCCGCTAGGAGACCCACAAACAAAAAGGGTAGCCTAGGCAAAAATGAGGATCAAAGAAAAAAGAAAATGTCCGCTAGGGAACACATCTCAAGTAACCTAGGCAAAAGTTAGGACAAAGCAGCATCCCGAGCTGAAAACCGAAAGGCGGCTTTAGCTTGAGGGGGAGTGTCAAAACCGTGATTGGCGTTGTGTATTTTAGGAAGTTTTATATTTGCTATGCTGTATTTCTGTAACAGTCTTATGCTGCCATTATTAGATTTATTTATGCAAGATTAATCCCGTAATCATAGGGATTTGTCTCCTTAGAATTAACTGTCCATATTTCCTAAAATAGGCTGCAGATTCATGTATATATATAGAGGTTTAATAACCTCATAAATCAATAAGAGAGAATATTATTTCTTCTAAATTTGAGAAGAAGCATACCTTCCCAATAATGAATACAGCAAAGCAGATTTCCCGGAATGTTTAGAACCAAAAACATAGCATTGGAACACATTTCTTATTGTTGTTTGCTTCTTGCGGTCTATTGATCTTCTACGAGTGATATGGAGTGCTGCAGCAGGATTACCATTATATCCAATGTAAATCAAATTAGCCAAACTACGTGTTGGATCAAGTAATGTCATAAGGGCCCACTGCACCATACAATTTAAAAGATATATCAATAAAAAATAAAAATAAAAACTCAATTTCCAACTAAAAGTGAAGAATTGCAAATAAGCACAATTCTTTTCAATTTGCCTGAAATGCAAAATATAAATGAAGGAACTAAGTTACATGGCTAGAGGGAATAACATCCCATCCCATCCAAAAGATGAATAGGAATATATATATATATATATATATATGGGAAGAAAGGGAGGGAGGCTCCTGCAAGGAAACCACAAAGCAATAATTTGTTAAGGGTTGCAGATGGAATATAATGCCCAACACTAGTCATCCAAATCAGAATAGCTAAATGATATGGGAAGTGTAGTTTTCTTAACTAAATGATAGCAAGTTAGTAACCAATAATTAACCCCCTTTGATGTATCTTTCCAACAATAAAATGAATGTAAAACCTCAAAATAGCTAATTTGAAATTTTGAATATTCACCGATAATGATAGGCATGTCAATTCAACAATGGTATGAGAAGATGACATGTGATTGTGTTCTGTCCTGGTTCTGGTTATAATAATCATGGTGAAAATTATTCCCGGAATTGGTTAATTTATGACTCAGAACCTATCTCAAGTCTCAACCTCACAATCTGTTCACTATAGTGGCAAGGAAGAAGCCATTGTAGTCCATATGCATAATACTGACAATTAGAATTAGGAAACACAAAATCTTTTCAGAGATTTATCCAAGAGTGAAGGTTGAAGAATAAAGTAAAGTAAAAAAATAAGCACCTGAGACAGAAATCCATTCAGAGATATATAGCCCATATCAGTTTTCTCTGCTGCATCTTTATATGGAGCATCGTTCCATGGACTAGAATCCAAAAACAAGTAAAAAAATTAAGATGCATAACTTTAGGTGGAAAAACTAAGAGACTGCTATAAATTTATTTTGATGCGTATGGCTTATGTATCAATATTTGGGGGAAACAAGAGGAAGCAAAGAAAAATTTGTCAAGAACATATTGCTTTTGAACGTAGATAAGAGGTTTAAAATTAATACTACTATCAAATAGGCTTCAGAAATTTAATATCTATGTATGCAAGTTCCTGTTTCTAGGGTTATGAAATCAGATTGCTTCATGAATTCTAATATAACTAAAGGACACTTTTAACATATAAAGAATGTGACTAGAGAAGTTACCAAATTCAGGGGGAAGGGAGGGGGGCATAAGTTTGGGCATTAACACCCAAGGGAAGAATAAAGAAAGAGAGAAAGAACTGCAGGAAATTATTCCCACCTCTACCATACATACAAGCTTTTCTTCATTTTTAGAACATCTATTCCATATCTCCTTAAGCGAGGCTTGCCAAATCCCATAAGATAAAGGTAACAAAAATTTGTTGTTACTTGTCAAACCTTCACAGCCAGATAGTTGGCAGTTGACATTACTGTATCTCATGACAAACAACACAATTTGAACATTCTTCACAATAATTTCTTGTACGCATTATTACATTTGTAAGTAACGAATGTTTTTTATATTAACTTGCAGGTTTTTGTTATGCAGAGTAAAAAAAGCAAGATTACAGAACATTGTTGTAGTTAGAAAAACATTTTGGATAGTCATTTGTCTGATTTTGCTTAAACTTTTAAATGTTTGAAGCATTTATTTCCACATTGATGTAAAAGATCAAATGCAGTATGTAATAGATGAATTCTTCCACTTTACTCCATCCATAAGAGACAAAGAGGTGGTCACTTTATTAGAAAATACAGCCAAAGAATAAAAATCAGTGATTGAAATCTTATACATGTAGTTGTCCAATTCAGTCACTGAACTACATGAGTGTTGATTTTTGGAGGTAAATAATGTATTTTTTGGATAAGACTTCTTAAGTGCTGCTATGCCATGTTAAGCACAAATAATGAAATAACAACTCAATTTTACGAATTATGATGATAGCCTAGGATACTATTCAGAATCTAGTATAATAATTAGATGCTTATCATTAAGAAAGTGGAACAAAATGCAGCAGAGACAAAGTTCCAAGATAAATGATCCATTACACGCTCTGTTCATGGTAAACACTAATATCTAGATTTGCTATGCATATTCCAAATTTTTTTATGATGTTTCTACTATATTGCAGCTTGTGCTGGTCATCCTAATTAAGAAGTCCAATATTCTTGATAAATTAAAGCTTGGATTTTTTCCCCCTAATCACCCAACATTAATGAATAAAAGAAGTAAACTCTGGTAGCAAGAAATAGTTCAGTAAGTGCTATAAATATTAGAAAATCATCTGCTCTCTCAATTTCCCAAAAATAAAGAAACAGAAATTATATTATAAAGAAATGTATCATACTTGGAGGTACATCATGACACTAATACAAATAATAAACTTGTATAGTACTCCCTCTGCTCATAACCTATTATTGTTAAAGTTTTTGAAGACAGATTAAGAAACATTAAGTTTATATAAAGTTATACTAAAATACGTCTTACAAAGTTCTATACTATTTCCAAATTCCAACCACTCTATTTATAACTTACTCCAATTTGCCATAATTATTGAGAATTCACTTTGAATGGTCCTTTTATGCACCCCTTTGATGGGATAGTATTCCTTTTCAATGCAAATGCCACTAAGTAGTACTATTAATACTCCAGTATAAACACCTTGTGAAAAAATCAAAGTTATTAATTTACTCTCTTAATTACTCCACTATATGTAAGGGTACAGTTGGAAAAAATGCCCAATTATACATTGGAATTATAAAACAACCAAAGTTTTGAAACGAAAAAAAAAATGATAAAATAAAAGTTTAGGAATGAATGAAGAACTAGTATTTCACCGTGTATTAACCATCTAGGTTATAGGATAAGAAAGTAGTATAAGTGATGTACAGATAGAGTTAAGATTAGCAATGCAATTGATGGAGGAGGCCCATGGGCCAAAGGCCCAACTACTAGGGCTATGGCCAAGAGGATACATGAAGAATGGGCCCATGCTCAAGAGAAGCCCATAGTACTCTTCAGTTGGGCTTTGACTCAAGCCCAAGTAGATTAGGAGGTAGTATAGGTTTGTGCCTTTGGGCTTGTATTGTATTTTTTGGGCCTTGTATTTCGGCCACCTAGGTTAGGATTATTTCATGGCAATGTGAATTTAGGGTTAATCTAGGTTAGCATGTACATGTTCATTTTCATGTAATTAGTATTCCATTTAGTATGCATTTCGGCCATGTGCACACATGTACATGATGTGACCGAAATGATGCTCAAATGGGTACCAAATTACATCCAAATGAGAGGCGCACATGGTGGTGACCGGTTGGCACCAAAATTTGAATTTAAACATTCAAATTTTGGCGTCTAAGGTTAAGTTAAACCATGGTATGATTTAACTTAACCTTGGGTCAAGCCAAACTTGTTCATCACACTAGCATCCCTATATATTCATTTTGGCCGGATTGTGTAGCCACTTTTGGATGATATATGAGAATTTTCTTCTTGTGCAAATTCTCCACCAAAAGTCACTCCATAGCCTCTCTTCCTCTCTACTTGAGCTCCTCTCTTTGTAGAGTTAGGATCCCTAATCTTCTATCCGGAATTGGAAGGTTAACCTAGGCTATTCTTGCTTCTTCTCTTAGCTTCAAGTCCTTGCATCCATCTCAAGGATCCGAGAAGAAGTTTCTTGTGAAGCATCATGGAGTTTTCATCATTGAAGACTTCATCAACAATCCATTTATCCAACCAATCCATCCAACTATAGAAACAAAAATTAATGGATGGATTCGATTTGGATCACTATTTTGTCATGGGATGGATAATGTATCCATCCAACATATTTTTGTAATCCATTGGATTAAGTAGTCCAAAGTTCATTAGTTACGAATAGATCTTTAAGGTTACTTCAAAGATGAAACTATTGTAAGAAATCCTTGATGATATTGTAGTGGAACAATCTATTCCTCTTGAATATCTCAATTTAATGCCAAATAATTTCTTATTGCTCCCATATAATATTCATCTCTACATGGCGATAAATAAAGCATGTTTATTTTTTTATGTCTCAGATTTCATAAAATGGACTTTTCTATAGACCCCTAACTAACAATTATCACATCACATGAATTGCTAGAGATCCAATAAGTATAACATTGATTCCTTCATACAGGTCAATTGGACAAATGCGTCCATAGTGACTAGGGTAGAAATCTCATCCAAAAGTGGGGGAAAAAAATAGTGCCAAGGATGTTTCATGTTTGGATTCTTTGGTATTAGAGCACATCAGTCATTTTCGGAGAACAACAAATAGATTATACCATTTCATGGTGGATTGGCAAATTCTTGGGTTGAGCTAGATTTGAACCAACATAGACATTGCCAATGCATTCACGATCCATTGAGTCTAGGACTCTACAGCATTTGGGTATAAGAATATGTATAAATATTAAAATTTATTTTATAGAAAGAATTGAAAAAAAATATACTTTAAATGTATGGGTTGAATATCTATCTATTAAAAATGGTTAATGGATGAATTGGATGACTTTTTATTAAATGAATAATAGATTGATTGGATTTTTCTTTAATACATTTTTAACATATCAAATGGATTAATGCTTTGTTTTTAATCCATCCATTATAATTCAATTCAAAATATATCCAATAGATCCATTTGTGTTTGACACCCCTAGTTAGGGTTTATATCTGTTACAGATATTGTACAGATATTGTTGGATACATATATTATCCTCACTATCAATTAGGGATATGATTAGATTAGTTTCCATAATATAAGAGATTAGTATCTCTATCATTTATTGTATTCACTCTATAAATAAGATTGGTGTGTGTACAACAAGACACACAATTCCTGAATCACAACATGGTATCTAGAGCTTAGGTCTAGTCCTTTAGATTTTTTTTCCTCTTTTTCTTCTTGCAAGGGCCTTCACCGACCGCCGTTGCCCGCCGGCTGACCACCGCCGCCGGCCGGCCGCCGTTTGACTCAGGCTGCCAAGGTGGTCCCGACTGCCGAGGTATGTTGTGTTTCCTAAGGTCTTCTTTTTATGCTTTGGTTTTTTGCCTGGCTTTTGCTTTAAAGGAATGTTTTTGTTGTTCTTTTTGCAGGCGAGTAGGGCCGCCGAGATCTTGGAAACTCCGAGGTCGGAGTTGCCGGGGGTCGGTGCTTCTGGTGTGGAGCAGGGAGCATCTGCCTCTGCTTCTGCCGAGGCTCGCGGGAAGGGGCCATGCACTGAAGTTCTGAGGCCCACCCTGGTGTCGTCAGCACCATCGACTGGCCCGTCGAGGGGGCCTCCCAGGACATAGTATCTCGCCCAGCGCTTCCAGAAAGGAAACGCAGTGGTGAGGTTGGATCATTTGAGCGCCTCAGAGGACATTGACTCGTGGTGGAGCGCTGGGGTGTCTGCGTCAAAATTTTTTCCCGAAAGGTCCTTGAGTGCGGCTGATCAAGCTATGATCGAGTCAGTCGGGCCTGTGGAAGGCTTAGATGCTGCCCAGGTTCTCCTGCAGAGGGGCGTGGCCATTATGGATTACTGGAAGCACAAGTGGTCCAAGTAGTAGGAGGACTTCGCGAAAATGAAGAGTCGGGTCCAACCTCTGAAGGACGAGGCCAAGGTTCTGAGGGAGGAGAACCGGTCTTTGGCAGCTGCTCTCGGGGAGGCCAAGCTGCAGGGTGAGGCCGAG